CTCCCCCGCACCTAAAATATACATTGTCCTCAATGTGTAGGGAAAGAAAAATAACAAAGATAGAAAGAAGTACTTTCCCGTGCAATGGCAAAGATTCAAATCAATCATGATGCACAAACCTTCCAAATACTTAAACAACGACTAAAACTGCCAAAAGATCATAGTCAAAAGAAAAAGTTAATGTCACCTACATAAGAAAAGATAAGAAAAGAAAAGTTAAAAGATCATAGAAACAAAGTCAAATGGCAGCTCAAGATGCTAGCCCAGTGCCTCTCTCACTAGCGGATCCTCAACCATCACCACTAACTCCAGAAGTAATACGAGGTGAAAGAGTGATGCCTAAATGATCCTTAATATGCCACATCCGAACATCATAGGTATCCAGACGAGCATCAATCCTATCAAGTTATTCAATGACTTGAGTCTGATGACAGCCTAGAATGTCAAAGAGTCACTGCCAGTTGGAACGCTGTGGAGGTGGAGGTGGTGGTGGCAGCGGTGGGGCAAGAGTAGATGGCCCGGCAGAAGTGGATGGACTAGCAGAAGTAGAGGGACTGGCTTCCTTGCTCAATGTGACCAACTTGTCTTGATCTATCTTTTCCTAGGCGAGGTAAAATATCCGTAGGAATGGCCATGCCAATGAAAGTAGCAACATTTAACTCGTCCATAGGTCACATCGAAACTTGTGGGATACCCTCCAAATTGACGTCTTCCCATTCGAAAATTAAGGATAGGAGATGTGAAAACTGCAATTGATAGGAAGTCACATTCCTTCGAACGGCTGTCCTTATGTTATTAATGATTATATTTGGAAGTGAAATGCGAGTATAAAGAGACTCTTGGTTGTGGAACATGTGATCGAAGAAGTATATATCGCTATGACGAATCTCTCCTTGTCCACTCTTCTTCGGAATCACATTGTGCGCCATAACATAAATAATGAGGCAGTGTCGATAGTTGAATACGCGTGCAAAGATGGCCTCTTTTCTTGATGAATGAAAAGGTTGGTATTATAGGCCAAATCTCATCATGACATGTGAAGGGTTCCAATGTTTGTTTGGTGAAGTAAATTCCTTCTTCAAATCAATGACCAGTCCTTGATTATTGCACTCCAAAATTCGAGCAATTGTGGCTCTAGTGATGGTCAACTATCTCCCTCGAATAAAAGATTTAATCTCTTCACCATTGTGGCCCTTTTTGTTGTCAATATTGGCATAGAATTCCCGGATTAAGTCGGGATAAATATGACGAGGAAGAGAAAGAATAGACGCCAATCCCAATAGGTCAAAAACCTCCATAATTCGATAGAAGACATCAATCTTCGGAGTTATGTGCATTTCATATATGAACTCCATGTGCTCGGTTCTTCGAACCAACCTTGATTATCTTTGGAAGTAAAGCACTCGACATCATAGTTCGGAGGAGGTGGTCGCCTAGATGTGCCTCTTCGCGATCTCCTTGCAAGTATCCTGGGTTTATAGAATCCACTATATATGTCTAGCTATGGATGAAATAGCCAATTATCACTAATATACTTGTCTTATTAAGGATGTATTTCACTCAAACCATCAGAACTTGCTCTCACCAATGAATCGAATTTAGCCAACACTATAGTTTCCCTACTTTGTAGTAAAATCACAAGTGAAGTTTTAATCAAGCACAAGAAATATCAATCATCCACCTAAGTGCATCACTACTTTCATGTGTCTAATCCTTAGGTTCCACCTACTCCATTTCCATCATTTTCAAACTGCTTTCATAGATTAACAATAACTATCATGACTTGTAAATGGTGATCAAGTATTTCACAAGTGTTAAAGCAAGAATAGGTGAACTAGCAAGTAAAGGATAGCAATAAATTGACTATATTCAACTATAATCAAAGTACAACTAGTTTCATCTATCCCTAGAACAAGAAGATTTAGTTATACATAGTAGATTCAACAATAAAACTCATATCTTTAATGTAACAATAAAGCTCATACTAAGCATTAATGAAACAATAAAGAGAGTAAAGAGAAAGAAATGTTCATTTAAATGAAGAATAGAGATCCTCAAGTTTCATCATGTTCAGTACCATTAAAAATACATTGTTACAAGAGTTCTTCAAGTTTCTTTATAAAAATGAAAACTAGCGCTAACAAATCTCCACTAATGGCAAAAAATACATCAAACCAACATGATACAGATACATGTAGATCTAAAATCAATAGTATTACAGCTCTAAGAAAACATTACAAATAAAGGTAACAGATTTAAGAAAACAATACAAATAAAGGGTCTAGTTTTTTTTGTTAAATTATGGCAAAAAATGGGTTGCAATGGAGAAAAATGAAACTAAATTAATTGAAATAATTTAAGTTTTTTAAAAGATAATTTTTCTCTATCTTTTCTAGTGAATTAACACTTGGTCTTTCCTTTCCTTCTCCAATCCAAACAAAAATTCAGTATTTCTTTTCTTTTCATTCAATATTTAATCCAAATAAGATGAATGGAAATCACTTTCTTCTACTCTCCTTTCCTTTCTTTTCCATTGGTATCCTTACCTTACCTCTCCTTTCCTTTCCTTCAATCCAAATGGTGCCTATTCATCCGACTTTGACACTTCGGTCCAATTGTTGTCAATGGAAAATTACTAGGATTTTTGTGCATTGCATGTCAAATCTGTCAATTTTCTTATTGTAATAAACGAATGGGTCAAAGTGAGGATGAATCTGAAACATCAATTTCAAAATTAAAATTGAATGTGCAATGTCAAAATTAGTGACAAGTTAGGGAGTGAATCCCTTTCTTTTGTTTTCCTTTGTTAAATTAATTAGTTACAACAATAACAAAGATTCTGCAGCTCCAACTGTGCCATGTTTGTTAGGTTTCATAGCCCCAAGGTAATCTGTATTCCTAATCCTAGTCTTCACCTTCCAGTCTATACGAAGCTTTAATGGTACATAAGATACGTCGTTATCATATCTTATCATAGGTTATTTTAGTTTCGAATCTCATTCCTTTGTATGGATTGGCCACCTATATTATTACTTGACCACAGTGGCCCAAGGTCAAGCAATACTTGGAAAAAAAAACAAGTTTTTTCATTTCTTTTTGTGCTTTTGAGGTCATTGGATACTTTGAAAATTCCCTTAAGAATCTCCATTGTACATGCATGCAAGACTCTTATAAGCCAACAAGTTAAGTTTCAATTTTACCACTAATTTATTATCAGTTTTCACTCTAAATCCGCAAACTTTAGTTCTTGGACATATTGTACACCCTCTATTGGTTTTAATGTTTTGCTATAGATCATTTAAATGCACAATAGGCATACTAGGTTCGTTGATTTGTAGATATATCATTTGCGAACAAATTAATTGCATGTTGGTATTAATAACGTCGACATTAAAGTCACGCCCTGTTCCTCATTTTTAACTTGGCCTATTATGTAGAATTGAAGTTTTGAAATTATAGACAAACAATAATTACAGAACGTGATTTGCATCTATAACATATGATTAAAATTGAATTGGGGGTACAATATGCCCAAAAATTAAAATTTAAGGGTAAAATTGGGTTGCAAAGTGAAATTTGATCTGATGATTACGATGCGTTGCGTGCAAAATCTGTTTTTTTATCATGTCTAATGAATGATTAAAATGGGATGGATATTAAACCCTAAGGTGATTTTTTTTTTTTTTTCAAAATTGAGATTTAATGTGTAACTTGAAAATTGATCATAGGTTAGGGAGTGTAAAGTGAAATTAGGCGCAAACTATAAACAAAAGTTCTTGAATTCAGATAGTACAATGTGTGTTGGGTTCAGATGACTATATAATGATAAATCAGGTACGTGGATGTAGGTGCAATATATTCAATTTCAGTCTTCAGATAAGTTTTTTTTTTTTTTTCATTTTAAATCCCTTTGCCTTGTTTCCCAAGTTTAAGCAGCAGTCCAAAATAAAACACGAATTTGTTCATTTCTTGTCAAAATCATTGTATATATGAACAAAATCATGAGTTTCTTGAAGAATCTCCACTGTACGTAAGATACTTTCATGTGGGATTTTGGTTATTCTTCTCTTATCTTAACTAACCAAAAGGGCAAATTACACTTTATCTGTGAGAACCGAAAATTTTCTTATTTTTATAGAATATTATTGGAACATTTAAATGATTATTCACTCATTTTCTTCGAATTATTTATTTCGACCATTTTAAATCCATTTATATGGAATGACGCCTCTTTATAATTTTAAAGCGTTTTGTTGAAAAATTCGCTTTTCGAAAATTTGATTAGTCTGGAACGACGGGTGCATGTTTTTCTAGGCTATACTTGAATAGGGAGTGTATTAATATTGAAGAATTAAGAACGATCAATAATAGATTAAGAAAGGTTAATGGAGGAATTAATACTCAATTCACGTGAGGACTCGTAAAATTATTATTGTTAAAACCCCTAATTTTGGCTCAATTAATTATCTATTTGGATTTTTGCCCCGAATATTATTTTCTATCCTTATTAGACCTAAGTACATGGTTTTATAGCTTCGTTATATTTTTAAAGTATCTCGTTTCAAAAATTATTTTCTTAGAAACTTGTTTAGTGAAAAAGTGAAAACGTGTCTAAACACTTTAGCCAATTGGGAGTACAATAAGCTCAAAATTTGAGACCTATACAATGGTCCTAAAATAGACAATTTTAGGTTTAATCACACAAGTGATAGCTAGGGGTACAATCGTTATAAGAATTTTCCAAAGGTTTCAATTTTTATTGCGCCTAAATTAGAAATACGTGTTTGCACGTGCGCGCTTAATTGAGGGACTTTGGACCATTATTTTGGGACAATTAAGAATGAATAATATTTATATGAATGTAAGTGCCCTAGAGGTTTAGTGCACTAGTGCAACAAACGTAAGTGAAATCGAACACAAAACGCGCGCGTAGGGTACTAGTTATAATTGATTTGACGTATTAAAAGATTTGACGTCAAGCGTCTTTCGTACGCAAAGGCTTCAGAACCGCATTTCATTTCATTTCATTTCTTCTGCTGCAACGGACGGCTAGCAGCTGCAAGGGACAACCGAAGCTTCACCATTTCTTTCTTCCAAAACTCATCCAAATCCTTACCAAAACTTCCCTAGATTCTCACCAAACTTCACATTCATTTAGCTTTTCACTTGGACAACAACTTAGCTGCAAAAGGAAGGAGCTATCCACGGTTTCTTCAAGCTTCAAAGGGCCGAAAAATCTGTCCTAACCAGCCATCAAAGTAGGTAGTAATCAATCACCTTAAACTTGTCTTTTGGAGTTTGATTTATGCATTTGAGCTAGAATCGTCACTTTAGTAGCTTGTATTGTTGGGAAAATTGTTAAACGTGGGCTCTATGAACTCCCACTTTGGGTTGATGGCAGTGATGATGTTTGATGATGGTTTTGTTGCTGAATTAGAGCTTAAGGAAGTAGATTAAAGGTGCTTTGTTACCAGAAACGTTATTGAACTCTTGAAACAAAAAGTTCCCATTTTACCCCTGCTCTGTTCGGTCACTTTAATGCAGAAATTTGAGGATTTAATGGCTTGATTATGTTGTTTACATGTTGTAGCAGTTGTGTACAAATTTTCGTTGAAAAATACTGAGTTTTGGTGGGTCAAACGAATTTATTTCCAAAGCTAGTAATCTGGGAAAACGGTTGCCGTCGTAACCAGACCAGTGTTCGTGTTCGTCCATAACTCCGTACTCCGACGTCGAAATCAAGTGCCGTTAGCGGCATTTGAAACTAGACGTTCCCATTTTTCCAACAGTGTATAATGCACATTCTGGTTTCATGTGTGTGAGCCACACCATTCATCTGAAGTCGGCTGTCCTGTTTCTCCGTTCTGCCGAAATGATTTGATGATGCTGCAACTTTAGGCTTAATTTCGAACCAGTTGCATGCTGAAACTTGAAACGATTTCTTCTGTGAAATTTTATCCCTGTGAATGTATTTTCTAACACTATCAACCATTCCCAATTCCGAGTTAAATTGAGGGAGTTATGATCAAAATACGACGACTGCCTCGTTTTTGAAACCTTAGATTTGGACAGATTGCCTTAAGGATTTTTCCAAATTTTGGTTGATTGATTAACCACCTTTCCGAGGGTATTTTTCCATGAAATTTGATAGAGAGATACCCTTCATATCGGAGTATTATACTGCAAAATTTGGTGTCAATCCAAGTCCGTTTCGGCACTTAATAAAAGGTCCAAAGTCGGAACCAAATCTGGAAATTTTGTAACAGTCTTGAATTTTTCCCAACTTTGAGCTACCGTATCTCGGTACTCGAAACTCCAATTCTTGAGCCGCTTGTTCTGTTCAAAACTTTACTTGCACTTCTAATCGAGTTATAAGTTTCAAGGGCCGGTTTGCAACGAGTGATTTTTTCCGAATTTCCAAAGTTAGCGAAAAACCAACCCCGGCTCAATCCTGGTAATCTAGAACAGCAACTTTAGGCTCATTTTTGAATACCTTCCACTTAGATTCATGGAATGGTGTCTTCTAAGGACTTTTAGTACTTTAGAAGACGATTCCAACGGTACCAAATTCATCAAGTTTCGATTAGTAGAAAGAAAGTTATGATTTTTCAAAGATTTGACCAAAAATCAAAAATTCTGGAAATCCGCGAAGGAACAATTTTACCAGAATCCGGCCAGTTTTGGCCGGATTGTGGGCCGGATTGGTGGCGAAGTTTGAAAAAAAAAGGAGGTTAGCCACTGCCTCCAATCCGGCCAGAAATCCGGCCGGATATCCGGCCAGAAATCCGGCCGGATATCCGGCCGGATTGTGGCGTGGCCAGCCGTCTTTCGATTTCGATCGTTCGATTTGCAATCGTTTTGCTCGTACTCGTTTCCAACCAATGATTTTAAGGATAATAATCCGATTTTTACTCGAGTCCTGCACCCTTTTGAGAATCCAACTTCAAAGACAAGTCAAACGAAGTTTTCAAATATTTCCGAACCTTACCCGTGTCCAATCTTTCTCACCACTTGGGGACCTATAGTAATTATCTACTATTCGATGTTCAGGCACGCACGAGCGACCTCCAAGAGGACCCTACCGTGGAAGTTTGAACTCTCCCTCCAACCTACTTGCTTGCATAACTGGTGAGTGTGTCAAGTGTATGCCTACTTGAACTCTAAAGTCTTGATTCATGCTTGACTTACCTGATTACATGCTTAGTCTATTTTGATTTTGAAAAAAATGGAGTTCGAGTGTGTACTTAATCGCACTCGTTCTCATTTGGCACGAATGACTCATGTTCTAACATGATTTGCCTGGTTTACATGACTTGAAATGCTTGCTTAAACATGTCAAATGCTTGAATACATGAAATGGTATGCTATGATTGCATACGTCGATGAGTGAATCTCCTCGACATCTACATGATACATGGGGGACGCCCAAACTCATAGGCCGACCTTGGAACTCGAGCCGGCATGGGCTTGGTCGCGGGAACCTCGGTGAACCATGAGATTCACATGATAAGCTTGATCTATTGAGAGATCTCGCTTGGCATACTCGTAAGTATCGCCTTATAAATGTCGTGCGGGCCCGAATTGGTGTATGGTGGACGGATGAGAAGTAAGTGGTGAACAACGGATATGAAAATATCAACCCGGTTGACGGAAAGATCATCACGGGGGGATATACAAATGACATCGGCAAATGTGGAACTTAGCTCCTGAGAGCTTCCATATCCTTGAATTGTTTCTGGTTACATTTTGTCGGCGTTATTAATTACTTGCAGCTGTTACCTGAATTGTATTTGGGCTTGTTATCTGAACTATGTGTCTGCATGTGTGTTATTGGCCTCACGAGCCGTTTGCTCACCCTGTAGATTTGTTTTCCTTAACAGGTTTGAACTCGGAGGTAAAATGGAGAAGCCCTCTTGATGTACTTTTGTTTAGGGCTTGTTATTACTTTTGGTTATGCCTTTGGTTTTGGAATTGTACTTTTGGTATGGAAATGTGACCTGAGAACTGTCACTGTTGGTATCAGAGCCATATGCCGACAATTGGGACTTAAGTCCTTCGTCTGGAAAAGCCCGAGCCTCTCGTTCGTGTGAAACAGTCACGAAGCGAAACTCTCCGTAGGGGATGCCCGCGTGCGGGTGGCAAGCTGATAGGTACCCGCGTGATATGACCCTTTGGACAAATGTAATCTGTATTCTGACGTGTGGTTTGGAGAATGGATGACTATTATTAAGTTTGAATACTTCCGCATTTAGTGTATCTAAATTATTGGCTTGTATTGTGTGGTCCGGCTATAAGTTGAATGGAATTGCTTGAGTCCTAGCGAGAGCTAGGCAGGCGTTCCGCGGATACCGGCTTTGGTTCGCCTTAGGGAGAAGTGGGGGCCGTCACATTATCCCCTCTATGATTTAATATTTTTGTACATTACCCCCTATGATTTAAAAACTATACATAACACTCTCATAGTTTGGATTAAAGTGTCAAACTAATGGAATTGGCCAATCCATAATGGAGTCACCTAAAATGTCAAAATACCCCTATATAAAGTTGAAAATTATTTATTAACCATTGAGGGTCATGTGTATATTTTGAAAACCATAAGGAGATTTATATGGTAAAGCATTAAATCATAAAAGAGTTATATGGTAAAACATAAATTATACAGGATTAGTATGTCATGTATATTATGTTTATATATTTTGGTCACTTCAATCATTTTAATTTTTAAACAAGGGTAATTTCGACATTTTTAAAGGTTCGTCACGAAAGATTATTTTCCGTCACTTTGACACTTTAATCCAATCATGAAGGAGTGACGTATAACTTTTGAAACTATATGGGGGTTATGTGCAGGGGGTAAATATAGTTTGCCCTAACCAAAATGAAGCAAAGTACCAGCTTCCCAGATTGAAAAATGACGATGTTCTTAACATCTTGGATAAATACAGCATTTCACCTTCCATAAAAGGTTTGTCCGCGTGACGGATCAGAAGCGGTCCATTACTATTATGGAGTGTTTCAACGTCTGGCTGAAGAAGGATACCTTTCTACAACCTCAAAATCATTATGCATCCAAGGAACGAAATTGGATCAAGAAGTCAAATGCATTAAAAGTTTTTGGTATTTCTGATGTTATCATGATTTCAGGTCAGAGTTTTGATCGATTTGGAAACAATACTTTTGATTTTGCATTTTTTGGTCTAAGAATTAGTCTGGATTTTGTGTTAGTTGACCAGCCTTTTGAAATTGCTTCTGAAGTTTGTAGGATTCTTAGATATGGAGGGTACTTAGTTGTTCACATAACAGTTAAAGATGAGTATACTTTGACTCTTTTCTTAGTTTATTCGCCTGCTGTAGATTAACAACATTTAGAGACGTTAAAGGCTTGTATTCGACTTCTTCTATGTATGAAGTAGTACTAAGAAAAAGTTTGGAAGATTCAATTTCGGATGATATTGCCCAAAGATGTGATAATAACACAGTTCCAGAGTACAAGCGGGATTTAATTGGCGATCTTGAGCCATTGGAAGAAAAAGAACCATTGGAAGACTGGACCGAACAGGGGAAGCACAGTGAGAGCATCAAGTTATTCAGGCATCTCCCTACCATGGTTGATTTAATTTACAAGAGGATGTACATTTACATTGACCTGGGAGCTCGAACTTACAATTCAATGATTGGAAATTGGTTTGAGAAGCTGTATCCAAAGCAAAGCAAAAGATTTGAAATCTTTACGATTGAGGCAGACAAATCTTTTCATGAGTACAAAAGGAAGAAGGATGTCACACTTTTGCCATATCCAGCGTGGATAAGGAACGAGACACTAGTCTTTGGAACGAGAAATAAAAAAAGGGAATATACAGCAGGATTCAACCAGGACAGCCACAAGTTTTGCAGGACTACATGGGGGAGCAAAATGTTGTACAAGCCTTTGATTTCGCAGATTGGTTGATAAGGTCATTTTCCAGGCAAGATTTTGTAGTCCTTAAAATCGATGTTGAAGGAACTGAAATGGATTTGATCCCAAGATTGGTGGAGAGTGGAGCAATTTGTTTGACTAATGAATTTGTTCTTGGAACGTCATTATGATCGTTGGCTGAAATGTTGTTCAGGTAAATGGACTAAGAGGTACAACACCACATATGATCAATGCTTTAATTTGTTCTCAAGACTCAGGCAGGGTGTCAGTCTTGTGCATCAATGGAGGTGAGCTATGAAGTTACGATTTGACCTAGGCAAGCTGTTTTTCAATCGAACAACTGGGATTAATTGCAGTCTTTCGTTTTTCATGTTTGTGATGTTTTGAGGTTGTAGTCCATTATGAACAGAGTCTACATTGATTTAGTTTAGTTGTTACTCATTTTGCAATTTATTTTCCTTTCAAAAGCATTGTTTCACAAATCATTAAAACATTGTCCTCAATGCACCGTCCAATATAAATTGGCATTGAGATTATCTTTTCCTAATACGAGAGGTCTGGAAGGATGCAACTCTGGTATACTAGTTATATATGGTGCCCATGAAAAACGTAATGAGATTTCTTTTACTAATCCTAATTTTATTGAAGGATGCACGTCTGATGCATCAGTTATTTGTGCTCATGATAAATGCAATGAAGCTTCTTTTACAGTCTAATTTTATTGGGTGCCCGAGTGCATAAGTCATTTGGTATGAGAGGTAAGATTGGTGAATAAGGATAGTCTCAAAATATACTTCTCACTTATTTAGCAGCAGCTTTTTTTTCTTTTCTTTTTAGTTTTTAATGTTTACTTCTTTCATCTGTGCCACTGTTTAATGTGTGTTCACCTTTCTTGGATGATAATTCATATCTTTTCAAACATTATATACACAATACGTATAGAAGTCGATCCTTTTTTTTTTCAGGAGTAAACTCCAAGCGCCACAAGAAAATAGAGAAAATAGAGAGAATTTGAGCGTCAAACTAGAAACATCAAGATTACTGCTAGGCCTGTCAAAATTAGTGAAGGTTTAATTTCAAAATTATTAGCATTTATCATAGGTTTCACTGTGCTCGTTTGCAAACCATCACCTCCGAGCAATACAAAGTCTTGTAATACTTTTCTATTTACTTCTCAACCATAGGTTCGATTTATGGAAGTTTAATTGTTATTTTTCCTTCACCTTGAGTCTCCACAGTTTCTCTCGTAGTGCTTGCTTTCGTTGCCTCCTTAGAGTTCTTTCAATTTTGGAATCCAATGGAACAATGACTCGTAGAGCCCTCTGCATAAACCACAAGAAAACACAATCAAAAGATTAACAAAAAATAAAACTAAATACTAAATTACTTTAGACTACTCTATGTACTAAGTCTAAATATATTCACAATATAATACAATGTTTAGACTAATAAAACTTACTTAGCCTTAATATTGTCATGATTCCCGACAACGGCGCCAAAAACTTGACAAGATTCAAACCTATGCTCTAAATTTTAATCTAATTCCCTCGTTCACTACAAGTATACCAGTCGTGGCTTGTAGTACTAGGGAGTTAGGATCGATCCCATGAGAATTACTTTCAACAACTATGGCTTTTTATTCACTCTATTATCTAAATTAATCAAGAATTTTAACTAAGAACAATAAACACAATGCTAAAACAAATGCAAGAAAAATTAACAACTTGAACATATTCAACTAAACACAAATGTTCTAGGGTATAGAATCCACTAAATGTACCTAACTATGGATAAAATAGTCAATTATCACTCATGCTCTTGTTTTGCTAAGGATGTATTTCATTTAATCCATCGGAACTCGCTCTCGCCAATCAATCGAATTTAGCCAACATTATAGTTTCCCTACTCTCACGGTGAAATCTAAAGTGAAGACTTAATTTAGATCTAGAAATGCCAAAAATATTCACCTAAATGTACCACTATTTTCATGTGCCTACTCCTTAGGTTCCACCTATTCCATTTCCATCATTGTCAACTATTCTCATAAATTAACAACTACCATGGCTTGTAAATGGTGATCAAGCATTCACAAGTGTTAAAGTAAGAATAAGTGAACTATCAAGTACAAGATATAGCAATAATCAAGGCAATACAATCCCCATAACCAAGGCACAAATAGTTTCATCTATCCTTAGAACAAGAAATTTTACCTAGATATAATAGATTTAACACTAAGCTCATATTTGCAATGTAACTAAGCATTAATGAAACAACAAAGAGAGTAAAAGAAAGAAATGCTTATTCAAGTGAAGAAACAAGATGTTCAAGTTTCATCATCTTCATAACCGTAAAAAATACATTGTTATATCAAAAGTTCTTCAAGTTCTTCAAGAGAAAAAAACTAGATATAAAACTATTCTAAAACTAAGCTAGAGAGGAAAAAAAAGAAAAAGTTCTTTCCTTGGCAAGAACTAATCTCCCTTCAATAATGTGTTTTTTCTTGCTAAAAGTCAAGAAAAGAAACTCTTAAATCCACCAAAAGTTGGTACAAATTGTTCTTTTATGTCTTGTCTAAAATAAGAAAGAATAAAAGTCATGCAAGTTGGCAACTTGCAACCACCATGAATCCCTCGAGGATTCTCCCAGGGATTGTGCAGAGCTTGTTATTCTCTGTGAAATGAAATTCTGCCCACAATCTTTGACATAATCCGCAGAGTAACCCTTGAGGGATTCTCCTTTTCTTTTTTTTTTCCTTTCATCATTGACTTACACCACTTCTTTTAACCATTGATGTGACTTTTCAAACATCTCTCGCTTATTTTGCTTTCAATTAAACTTGATCATTTTACCTACATCAACAAAGAGATTTTGCAAGTAAAATGACAAAATGGCAACTAATTCATTTGTCAACTTAAGGTATAAATTAGTGACATAAAATGGACAATTTATACCAATTAATCTTATAAATTGACTCAAAAATAATATGAAACACATTAAAAAGATTACAAATTTAGTCATTATCGTAATATACACTAGGTCATTCCAATCACTTTGTACAGTTACGGACTCAACCATCCCTCTAGCACTTCTAAAAACAGTACCTAAATTAATAGAAAAATGCTGCATCATAGGACCATGAAGATGCCAATTGTAAAGCCACGAAAGGTAGCTTGAACGTTGTCTTTAAATTTTCAGTGTTGTCAATTTACTTGCATGGCCAAAGGAGAAAAATAAAGACTAGTGATTCATACTTGAACAATCTTTAATGCAAATCTCGACCCACAAAGAAAATGGCAAGTGTGAAATGATTAGATTTGATTAAGTCGAAATGCACATTCTAAACATGCAATAAAACATTGAAGACGTGGATTAGGTGAAGATAAGTATAAGGTCTCTATTATTTCAGCCTACCTCATTCATTGAATGACTCGTAGTTTATGAAAACTTTTGTCAAGTTGTAACCTATTTATTTGTCTTAGTGCTCCTAATTTTTTTTTTACTCAATGATGTCCCTTATTAGATTACGTACACGACGTGATCTCTCCAACTTATAAAATTAATTCCACTCAAATAATATAAAAAAGGGTAAAAAACAAAAAAGCCCCATGTGGTTAACCTAATACATAGAAAAGCCCCCCATGGTTTCAAAATATATAACACAACCCCTCATGCTTTGAACTAAATTGTAAAGGTAACGGAATCCGTTAAACTTAACGGAAATGGACAAAATGACCAAAATGCACTGATATAAATAAGCAAAAGACAGCTCAAAAAAATCATTTGTTTTAGTCTCTAAGTAGAGAGAATTGAGGGTTAAGGGGTAGAATAGGTATATTTGATAAAAACTAGTCATAAAAAAAAATTTTAGGTTCCAATAAGTCATTTCTGTTAAGTTTAACGGATTCCGTCACCTTTATAATTTAGTTCAAAGTATGAGGTGTCGTATTGTATATTTTGAAACCATAGGGGGCTTTTCTGTGTATTAGGCTTATCACAGGGGGCTTTTTTGTTTTTACCCTATAAAAAATGATAATATTGATCTTAATTATCAGATCAATTTCGATGCATGGGACACTCTCTCAATTTTTTTTTGATAAAATATCATAATTTTATTAAAATCTGCACTAATGGCATAAATTACATCATCAAACATACACAAATATCAAAGAACATATCTAAAGAAGATCTAAAAAAAGGGAAAAATCCATTTTTCATCTCTAAAGTTTGAGTTAGGGACACATTTCGTCCCCAAACTTTTAAACGTACCGTATTTTTGAATTAATTATTTTTTGCCACATTTAGTCCACAAAAGATAAATTGCTTAATTTGACTGAAGAGAATCACGTGTTTGGCACGTGGCCGTTAAGTAAAAATAATTTTTCAGTCAAAATCAACAGCCACGTCAGCTTTCTCCGTCCAAATTGAATATTTTACTGTTTTTGGACTAAATATGGCTCAAAATAATTAATCAATGTACTAAATGTGGTGCGTCTAAAAGTTTGGGACGAAATGTGTCCTTAACTCAAAGTTTAAGGACGAAAAGTAGATTTTTTTCCCTAAAAAAAAGATACTCCAAATTTGAAGAACTATAAAAATTATGTTATAAAGTTTCAAATTTAGAAAATGAGATAAAATAATTGTAACTTCAAGAATATCTATACATGTTTCCAATTGCCAAATCTACTGATTAACTGTTTCAAGTTCAGATATTACAATGAGATCTGCTGAAAAGATCCAAGAAATTCCGGATCTGATAATTAAAATTTGAAAAAACTCAAATCTAATAAAAGAAAAATAAAAAATTATTAAAAACTCTCACTAGAACTCCTTAGAAGAGAAAAAAAAAACTCTCACTAAATAATCCTAAGGAGAGAAGAGACTCTCACTAGAAAAATTTTTAGAGAGATTTTATTCACACAAATAAAAAGAAACTATATAGAAGGCTCCTCCCATGGGAAAAGTCAGAAAAATCAGATCTCTCTCCCATGGAAGAGTTGGAGAGAGTTTTAATTAGGGAGTTTTTTGCTAGAGAG